TCTCCTGTGCAAGTTTTTCCATACTCAGTGCAAGTTTTTCCATACCCATGCTTGTACTTGCATCCTTGCACTGGGATTGCACTTACACTTGCATCCTTGCACTGGGATTGCACTTACACTTGCATACTTGCCCTTGGATGCTTTATCGATGATACACTTGCCCTTGGTGTTAAACTGGGATACGTATAGACGTGTCAGCGTTCAAGTGTCAGTGTGGAAGCGTAAGTGTTCAAGTGTACGTGTCGAAATGTCAGTGTTCAAGTGCAAGTGTGGAAGTGTCAGTGTGTGAGTGTAAGTGTAGAAGTGTCAGTGTTCAAGAGATTTTCCGGAAGAACCCTTCGCAATGCTTTCGGGAACAAAAGCATCATTTTTCTAAAATAGACTTACGAGCCATCATAGAATCAAACAAGTTAAACATGCGTATTAATAATTACAAAATGACAAGCCAGCATTGCATGATGGCCAAACTCAGCAATTTGTCTAAGATACGAAACCAGCATCAGGTGGATCCATTTTGGGCACCGACTCAAAAGTCTTCTGCTCCATCTCTTCTCCCTCTTCCCCGACGCTGAAAACGAATTATTGTTCTACTTCATGGGATTTGGACTTTGGCACCCCACCACCAGAGCAATGGAATGTACCAGGCGTCATATTTGTAAAAGGTGTGCATTGCTTTCTGCTGGCAAGTGTTTTTCCGGAAAGCATTGCGAAGGGTTCTTCCGGAAAATCTCCTGAACACTGGCACGTCTACACTTACACTTGAACACTGACACTTCTACACTTACACTTGAACACTTACACTTCTACACCTACACTTGAACACTTACACTTCTATACTCACAATGGCACAGAAGTATCCAAGTGAAAGTTTGTAAGTGAAAGTATCCCAGTGTAAGTGTAAGAGTGAAAGCGCCCAAGTGCAAGTATGCAAGTGTAAGTATCCCAGTGCAAGGATGCAAGTGTGAGTATGAAAAAACTTTCACGGGAGATATCCTAATGAAAAGCATTTCCCCACTTTATAAATTCTCTGTAAAGGCGGAGGGTGGGACGAACAGCGTCAACCGAAAATGCAACCCTCTGCGGAGATCGTGCGTGTCGAGTGCGCGAAATGCAGGCGAGAGCGCGATTTAGCCTGGCCGCGCGCAACCCTCTGCGGAGATCGCGCGTGTCGAGTGCGCGAAATGCAGGCGAGAGTGCGATTTGTCCCAGCTCGCTTTTTTCGGTGAGATTTCCTGGAGGCGTGAACGCTGCTTCTCAAGCAATGGACACTCTGAGGTGGATGTAACGTCTCAGCGAGGGTCGGGCTCCCAGACAGAAGAGCTGTGTGCTTTACTATTTCCCTTTACCAGCAGCTCAAACGCTCTCGAAGATGAGCTGAGCTGTCACCGCTTGGCCGCCGGTGGGGGGTTTGGGAGGCCTGGGCGCCACTTGGTTCACTATATCTCGAGTGAAGACCTTCACCATTTGCCCTTACCAGCAGCAGACATAGACACACAAACACAGACAGGGACTCATACACACACATCACACACAGAGACCCACACACTGCCTCAAAGTACTCGGACACACACACACAGACAGGGACTCATACATAGATACACACACAGAGACCCACACACTGCCTCAACTCACTCGACTTAACACTTCACACTGAACACTTAACACATAACTCACACTCTGACATCCTACGTGATGAAAAATGCTTTCGGGCCACTCGTCGTCTAGTTGTTTGTGCGATGTTTGGCTTCGCTGACACTTTTTGGGTGATGGTATTGTTTTGGTCTTGGTTCTCTACTCTTGCCTCCAAAAAGTGCACTGGCTTCTTTGGCTCTCTGGGTTTTGATGGCTCTGAGTGTAATTCTCTTGGGAGGGGCGTGCACAAATACAATGGACTTTGGCAGACTCCGTGTTTTGGGAGCCGACATGGTTGCGTCCATGTTGCTGCATTGACCGCAGACTTATGATCGAGGGCTGAGGCCATTTGGTTTTGAGGTGGACCCTATCGTTTTGTGGGGTTTGGTGCACAAACCTGCCCCTCTTCACTGGCTCACACGTCTTCACATGTTTTGACCCTAGCTCACACGTCAAGGTGGGGCACCTCATCACACGAACAGCATGGCATCGCGCCCTGTCCGTCCGATCAAAACCTTTCGACGCCTGACTGGTGCGATGAAAGCAGGGAATGGGGCAAGTCAGGTAAGTTACGGCCCCCAGGACGCTACGAACGGGGCTCCTGGCATCGCTACTAGGCGCGTTCGGACGCTGCGATCGGGGCTGCCGAAATCAGCCTTCCGTTCGGCCACCCCAATATTCAGAGAAGGACAACAAGTGGTTTTGTAGTTAGGACAAAGACCCTTCAATCAATGGTGGGCCAGGAACTTTATAGGACCGAAAAGGGTACTGCACCAGCTCCCCAATAGTGGACGTCACTGCGTCACAACCCACAAAAGCACTTCATGGCCCACAAACACAAAAGCCAACCCAGGACTGCGACACCACTCAGCAGATAAAACATGCCAAGGACATCATGGCCAGCAAAAAACACGGAAGGCACCTGAAGATTTTGATGCCGGACTGAAGTTCACGAACTTAATCATCACTTCTGCGAACTACGTGGATCATGAGATGCGTGGCCAGGTGCTTTGCGAGCGCTTCAAGCAACACACCACTTCAGTGCCTGCAAAGGTCGCTATAGAAGTGGATTCGACTTTTGACTCAAAAGTCCGTCAAAGTCCAAGAAGGGGGGGCTATTTCTCATTCTGGTAGGCTGGTGACAATGCACATCGATTGAAGCTGGCTCCAGCACCGCAGGGCTGGCTCCCTCAAACAAAGGTTCCTGCGCAACAGTGTTCCTTGAAGTCAAAGATCGACTTGCAAAAGTGCCAAGCTCGCCCAACCGACGTCTGCGTCCTACTCTTTCTGAGACTCCCAGTGACGATTAGGCATGTCATCTCCTTGTCCTGCTCCAGCTTTGTGGCCACTGCCATGGGCAGTTTTGTCTGAGAGGCAATGATGGCTGATCTCTGAAGTGTCATAGAGCCTTAAGTCCTGGAACTGTGGTAAGTTGCACTTCTCAAACAGAGGTCTGCCAAAGGCCCTTTGGGCATGGTCTCCAACAACTTTAATGCTTGCCGCCATTGCCCGCCCTTCTCACAGGCACTGACGGCAGCATTGTAAGTGATCACGTTCGGCTGAACTTTCGTCTTGGGCATGCCCTTAAAAATCTTCAATGCTTGCTGCCACTGCCCGCCCTTGTCACAGGCACTAATGGCAGCACTGTAGCTGATCACGTTGGGCTGAACATTTGCCTTGGGTATGGCTTCAAACAGGCTCAATGCTTGCTGCCATTGCCCGCCCTTCTCACAGGCACTGATAGTAGCACTGTAGCTGACCACGTCGGGCTGAACTTTCGCCTTGCCCATGGCCTCAAACAACTTGAATGCTTGCTGCCATTGCCCGCCCTCCTCGCAGGCCGTGATGGCAGCACTGTAGCTGATCACATTGGGCTGAAGTTTTGCATTGGGCATGGCCGCAAACAACTTCAAAGCATGCTGCCATTGCCTGCCCTTCTCACAGGCACTGATGGCAGCACTGAAGCTGATCACATCGGGCTGAACTTTCGCCTTGGGCATGGCCTCAAGAAACCTCAGTGCTTGCTGCCATTGTCCGCCCTTCTCACAGGCATTGGTGGCTGCATTGTAGCTGATCACGTCGGGCTGAACTTTCGCCTTCGGCATGACCTCAAACAACTTCAATGCTTGCTGCCATTGCCCGCCCTTCTCACAGGCACTGATAGCAGCACTGTAGCTGATCAAATCGGGGTGAACTTTGGCCTTGGGCATGGCCTCAAACAACTCCAATGCTTGCTGCCATTGCCCGCCCTTCTCACAGGCACTAATGGCAGCACTGTAGCTGATCACGGTGGGCTGAACTTGCGCCTTTGGCATGGCTTGAATCAACTTCAATGCTTGCTGCCATTGCCCGGCCTTCTCACAGGCACTGATGGCAGCACTGTAGCTGATCACATTAGGCTGCACCTTTGCCTTGGGCATGGCATCAAGAAACCTCAATGCTTGCTGCAATTGCCCACCCTTCTCACAGGCACTGATGACAGCATTGTAGCTGATCACGCTTGGCTGGACTTCCCTGGTGGGCATGGCCTCAAACAACTTCAATGCTTGCTGCCATTGCCCACCCTTTTCACAGGCAGTGATTGCAGCATTGTAGCTGATCACGCTGGGTTGAACTTGCGCTGTAAGTATGGCCTCAAACAACCTCAATGCTTGTTGCCATTGCCCGCCCTTCGCACAGGCACTGATGGCAGCATTGTAGCTGATCACGCTTGGCAAAACTTTTGCCTTACGCATGACCTCAAGCAACTCCAAGCCTTGCTGCCATTGCCCGCCCTTCTCACAGGCACTCATGGCAGCACTGTAGCTGATCACGTTGGGCTGAACATTCACCTTGCGCATGGCCTTTAACAACTTCAATGCTTGCTGCCATTGCCCGCCCTTCTCACAGGCACTGATGGCAGCACTGTGACTGATCACGTTGGGCTGAACTTTCGCCTTGGGCATGCCCTCAAACAACTTCAAGGCTTGCTGCCAAGCTTTTGCCCTGGCACAGATGGATATTCCAACTGTGAAATTTGACTCAGTTAGCTCTATGCTACCATCTGCCAGGATTGTCTCCAATGTAGCATACACTAGTTTCGCTGCTCCCGTTTGCTGGCACAACGCCCGCAAGACAGGCCCAAAAATGGTCTTCGATCGCCGCACTTCTGGTAGCAAAATTGTTTTAAGAGAGTCTTCAAGATTTCCTGAGTCTCGTTTCGGCAAGCGTGAAAACATGTTTGTGGAGCATTGTTGTTGTCACATCCAAGGGGCATGGCAGGGAGATCGTCCCAAGCAAACTCGTCCGCTCCAACGTTCAAGTAAGCCTCGTCCACCAACAAACACTAACACCAGTAATATCGGGTGGTTTCTCTGCCGGTGCTGTTTTTACAGGTTTTTGGCCATGTCCAAAACAACACGATTCAAACCATCCAGGTTTCCTTGAGTCACCGCTTGGCACAGTATCTGCACCAATCCATCCGCCACTTCAGAATCGATTGATATCTTTCTGCGGTCTTTGGACCTGGAGGCGGAACAGGATCTCAAACACTCCGACCCCCTCCAGTGGATAAGTAAATACTTTCATTTGGAAACAACCAAAAGATATATCTTTATACATACAACTGTTTCCAGGTAACTTCTGCTTTCTAGTTAGGGGAGTTGTCATGTGCTCTGTATTCCGCAGCAAACAAACCCTCATTGCAGTAGAAACAAAACACACTATCTTGAATCTTCAACCCGGAAATGTTCAAATTGACTTTAACTCTCGCGGTGAACAAAGTCCCACCTCATTCCCACCTCGCTGATCTCGCTTCTCGAACTCGTCTCAAACTCCTTTGCAGGATCTGCTTCGACTGCTCTCGAAGGCGAGCCAGGCCCAGCACCACAAGGAGGCCAGCAAAAGGTGGTCCAGGCTGCGGCGGTGAAGCCCCGGGCGGGTGGTTGCACTGAAGAGACCATCTTTCACTCCTGATATTTTTGGGCAAATTATCTTTGCAAATCGGCCAAGTATGCAAGATGCCCTGCAGAACTTCTGTAGGTTGGCAGGATTCTCAGCGGAAACAGAGTTGAACTGCAACAAAACCTATAGATGTCACTCGGGAAAGCTCACCCGCAGCTCCTTCATCATACAGCAATACATCAGTGTAGCACATGTGCCCACATATGCGCAAGCATGACACCAAGACCGCAGCAGGGAAAAAACAGAAAACCTCATCCCGAGCCTGCTTTGGAGCCCGCTAGCAAGTTAGCATGACAGCCTGACAATTTGTTGGCACGACACCACGCCAGCACTTCAGCGCGACAACGCGAGCCAAGTCAAAAAAATTACACATCTGCATACACACCACACCGCGCCTCAAGAGCGTGAGATGTTAGCAGGTTTAAAAACTTCATGGCAGCCCGACAGCAGGCCGACATCAATGATGTGTCAGCGCCGCAGTGGCAACATTATCATAGCCGTGCCCCATCATATCTGCAAAGCGCTGTGGTGCTTGTGGGAAGCGGCCCCCACACTGCGGAACCTTCTCGAACTTGCTCCGAACTTGTGACCTCTCGGAACATGCTCGGAGGCTCCAGAACCTGCTCAGACACTTGCTCTGGAACCTGCTTCGGAACCTGCTCCAGAAAGCTTGCCCCGGAACCTGCTTTCAATCTTGCTGCAGAACATGCTCCGGAACGGACTAAGGAACCCTGCTCCAGGATCTGCTCCCGAAACTGCTCCGAGGTCTTTACTATGGCTGAAGACCCCTAAGCTTCGCTGCTGGGGAAAAACACAGCACAACAACTAAAGTGCTCCTTCCTTTCAATCCTTCCGAATCGGACCCAAACCACATGGAAGCATCATGTCATAAAGCATATAGCCAGCAAAAATCAAATCACATCAGCCAACCCCAGACCTTCCATCGGAATGGTTACATAGCTTTTAATCTCTTTCTTGCCCATCCATGGTGGCATAACTCCTAATCAGTCCCAATCCATCGGTACCATGCCAGTTGTGAACACCTTAATACCTGAAAGACCGGAGCGCTTCCCTTACACATCCACTTCTTAGATTTCAGTGAGCAACTCCCCCCAATCTCCAACCCCAAACAGTGACTTGACCTGCAGATGATCCACGTATATAAAAACCAGGCCTCCCAGGCTTCAAGTCCTCCTCCTCTGCTAGCCACTTCCAACTGTCCACGGGGCGTGACCGGCCGCTTCGGCAGTGCGGCACCGTGGTGAAGGGATCCATGGCGAGGCGCCGCAGCGAAGGAGGATCTTTCTTGGGCCAACGAAAGGAGGAGCACTCAACAGTTCAGGTGAAGGGATGGTGCACTTGGACACCAAAACACACCGCTCCAGCCATCAGCATCCCCATCTGCCTCCCTTCTGTTTGAGGTTTGCAAAGCAACACTCAAGTTCAGAGCGCGTCCACGAAGCAAGGACATATGGGGCTGGGTTCCAAAAGGCCAAGGAAGGAGAAGGGATTGTCGGGGAGCGCGCTAGTGGACGAAGTCAGACTGTATGACTCGGTGGAAGCGTGCTATTAACTCGACGACCCCCCTGCAACACTGCGGTCCACGGTTTGATGGGCGAGTGGCTTTTGAGTGCTTTAGACTTTGAGAGTTCACACAAGACACTCAAAGATCTCGCTTGGATCCCCTGTTTCTTAATTTTGGTATCGATCCACCCAGCCGTTTCGATCAAGGTGACTCATAGATCGGTCAAGTCGAGTGGTCAATTGATTCGAAGAAGAAGGTCTTCCGCTTCGAGCTGTTGACTTGACCCACCCAAACGGACCATCGATGGGTCGTCCACCACCATTGTCCCTTCGACCCGACCCGACCCGCTCTGCCGGCGGCTGCAACGGTGTGGGTCGTCCACCACGACGGGACGATCGAAGCAACGACGCGAGACGGGCGAGGCCCTGGGCTTTTCAGACCGATGACGGGCGAGGCCCACCGTTTACAACGGGGTGAACATGTGTGATCGCATGGTTCAGGTGTCACATCTTTCGCAAAGGAATCTCGGGGTTGTTCCCGGGAACAATCAAGGCAGAGAATGAGGTAGGTTTTGCCCCCAAAAGAGAGATTAGCCTTCCGTTCGACTTTTAAATACATGAAGAGAAAGGTTGAGCAGTTTGGTCGACCGAAAAGGCACCCTTCCATCAACGGTTGGCCAGGAACCCTAGGTAGGGTACTGTCTTCACAGGCTTTCTAACAGTGGACGTCACTGCGACACTACTCAGGAAACAAAACAGATTGCAACGACATCATGGCCACAAAAGACCAAAGCCCATCAAAGTAGGGGGTCTACTTCTGATTCTCGTAAACCGCACAGGGCTGGCAAGTCTGCCTCCCTCAGACAAACTTGAATTGCTCCTTGGTTCTTGGGCAATACCGCTGCTTGAAGACCGAGATCCTCTTGCAAGAGTTTCAAGCTCGCCTTTTGCACGTCTGCAGTGTTCCACTCTTTCCGGGATTTGCCATACCCAGTGACAATCAGGCATGTCAACTCCTTCTCCTGCTCCAGCTTTGTGGCCACTGCAGTGGAGAGCAAGTGACACAGCACAACACGGGCAGTTCCCTCAGAGAGGCAATGAAGGTGAATTAATCTCTGAAGTGTCACAAACCCGTAATTCCAGCATCTCTGGTAAGTTCCACTTCTCAAACAAAGTTCCGGCAATGGCATTGTCCCGACTTTCAGCACAATCAAACAGGGCATTGGAACTTACCGAGGGTGGCAGTGGATTTGACTCGGACACGGCCTCAAACAAGTTCAATGCTTGCCGCCATTGCCCGCCCTTCTCGCAGGTACTGATGGCAGGATTGCCGCCGATTGTCCGCCCTTCTCACATGCACTGATGGCAGCATTGTAGCTGGTCACGCTGGGCTGAACTTTTGCCCTGGGCATGGCCTCAAACAATTTCAACGTTTGCTGCCATTGCCCGCCCTTCTCACAGGCAGTGATGGCAGTACTGTAGCTGATCACGTTGGGCTCAACTTTCGCAGTAGGCATAGCCTTAAACAACTTAAGTGCTTGCTGCCATTGCCCGCCCTTCTCACAGGCACT